AACATCAGCTGTTCAATTTGTTCTTGTTGCTATTTTCCTAAGGTTTTTTTTTGTGGGTGTCTTTGGCCGTAACCTCAAATGCAGCAACTGAGATCAGCATGCTGCTATCCTATCTTGACAGCCCATTGACGGCTTGAGTCCCTTTCCCTGGGTAAGTCTCTTTTTCACAACTCCAAGTCCTCCTAGTCTTGTTCGACCTCAGATGGTTCCGTGCTACAGCAACTCAAGCCAAACAACCAGCTGGACATCAATGCATGTAAAAATCACCCTTTTATTTTTACATTTTGTACATGTATTAAAACAAATGCATATTGGTTTTTACTTGCATTGAGTTTACAGTCAAGCTAAATTTGTGCAAATTTCTGACTATGCCTGAAGGGCCTCCAGGAGGGACCACAGACACCCATATAAGTAATCATAGCCTTCGGAAATGTGGAGAACTTATCTTCACTGAACTCTGATTGAAACTCAACTTTGACTCCTGGTTTTCAGTGTGCATATTGGTTCAGTGGCACCTCTGCTCCTACAATACTAGGAGTACTACTTTGTAAAGAGGCACACAGAAGGTAGTCAGTTGTCTGTGTATATTCACTGCCACTTAAGTGCAGATATCAGATGTATGGGGCGCCCCAAACTTAGGACTACGGAGATCTGTGTGTGTGTGTGTGTGTGTGTGTGTATGTACGTACACATATGTACACATATATATGCAGCTGCAAGTCTTTTTTTATCAATGTGCACAAGGAAGAACTATAAAGATGGTTAACCTGTGTTGCGCTGATAACTGGTTTTCAGTTGAAATGGTTTTAATTGAGAGAAATAGGCTTCAGTGTTTACAAAGGCTCTTTACATGTCTGCAGTGCTATTGTCTGACACTTTGTGGTTTTGCAACTGATGTTAGTCTTTTGAATATTTAGATAAGTCTTTAAGTTTTATATTTGTTTATTTGGGTTTTGCACTAACATTCCTTGTGTTTGTTTGAAATTAGCGCAGAGGTGTCCTGTGGAGAGTTAAAGTGATAGATCACCCAAAAATGACTTCACTTACTCACACAAGTTTGACAGCTTCCCAATGAGTTTCTTCTGAACAAGACATTTAAACAATGTTGGTAATAAAACCGTTTTCAGAAGTCTGTAGCTATACTCTGCTCATCTTGGGCTTTGACTGGGACCTAAATTTGACCAAAGGACAAAGTGACTCTATCAACTTGGAGGGAGGTGTTGGAGAGCAGGTGTGCTTGTTGCTAAAATTTGGAAAAATTATCTTCTGTACAACAGTCTTGAATCTCTTGCAATTATGAATACTTAAGTTTGTGGTGTTTGTTTTCTAGGTAAGCTGGACAACATGGAGCTGGATGTATTGTTATTCTCCTTTAAGGATTGATGCCCGCTCGTTGGCTTTGCTGTCCATGTTGATGTGGCTCATGCAAGAGTTCTAAGCCCTTCTAGCCTTGTTTGACCTTAAATGGCTAAATGCTACAACTCTGTTGTACCTCATTTATACCGAAGCCTCAATATTGCATTGCTGATTGTGGTTGCGTATTGATACATCTGCCCTTTACGGGGAACACAAGAACGCGCAGTAATCTTAGACCATTTAAACCAGATATTTTAATTCCGCAAATTCGTTTGAACCAAATTAGCCAGAGATCACTTATCACGATTAGAAGATCTGGCATCTTTCAAATTAGGGCTGCACTATTAATTGAACGCGATCGTCATGCGCATCTTGTCCGTAAAGCCGCTTCTGTAATCGGTAGTAAATCTCCATCACATGCTTTCAGATGGAGCAGCATTTACTACACTGAGCCATAGTTCACTAACAAGCCGCGCAAAATCGCATTCATAATCGCAGATTTAATCGCCGGATTATGAAATCGTTCTACGATTTATGAATACGTAAACATAAATGCTGCTCCATTTGAAAGCACGTGAGAACCACATTTAATGTTTTTACTCCAAATACTCCAAATACAGTCAGTCGTGTTTGAAGTAAATCCTTCTGTAAGATGATGTGGCTTCTTGCACAGAGTAAGGCGCGCAACATATTTCATAGTATTCTAAACGGTGATAAAGGCTGTCAATTAGCATTGCATTATTATAATATTAAAGTATATAATAAGACTAACTCGGATAAACCATATGTTGTTGTAGTCGTGTGTTTAGTCACGTTGAATGAAAGCAGTAAAATCTTCTTCTGGCCTTCTTTACTACTGATCACAGAACCCTGCTTCACTGAAAGATATGCATGACAATCGCAGCTTCTGCAGCTTCTGGATTTATCACCTTTGTGATTTAATTTCTATTAATCGTGCAGCCCTATTTCAAATAATCTCCGATGTATGAAGAACGGGCCCCAGAACTATGACTTCTGAATTTAGCAGGTTACAACTATATTATGGATAAAACAGCCATGGGTCAATGCAGCCTTTGATCAACCGACGTTAGGTGTAGTAATTGTTAAGGAGCAGAACAGAAGGCAGTGTCAGTCACCTGCAGGTACATATCAAAAGCCAGTTATGCTTGGTTATATAGGGGTGTAAAATTACGTAACAAGTCTTTAGCAATGTGCACTTACAAAAAGCTTTAGGGATGGCTGGTCACTGGTGCATTGAAATTAATAAGTCAATATTAACAATGTTAAATTCTTTTATTTTTTTCAAACTACTTTGCTTGCAAGGTTCTCCACATTTTTGCTGCACTGCTTGTTTCAGTCTGACAGGGCTTGTGGTGTGATGTCCTTACATTAATGCACCACTAGATGGCACTCCAGCCTCTTGAGTTAGATTTAGATGGGGAGTAAGGGTGTGAAGAGTAAGAAAGAATGCTGAGCATGTTATCCTGCTTGTTCATGTAGTTATTAAAGTTTACTAAGAGGAATACACAATTTTGTGTTTCTTGTCTACATGAAGACATAACCGATACATCTGCCCTTTACGGGGAACACAAGAACGCGCAGTAATCTTAGACCATTTAAACCAGATATTTTAATTCCGCAAATTCGTTTGAACCAAATTAGCCAGAGATCACTTATCACGATTAGAAGATCTGGCATCTTTCAAATTAGGGCTGCACTATTAATTGAACGCGATCGTCATGCGCATCTTGTCCGTAAAGCCGCTTCTGTAATCGGTAGTAAATCTCCATCACATGCTTTCAGATGGAGCAGCATTTACTACACTGAGCCATAGTTCACTAACAAGCCGCGCAAAATCGCATTCATAATCGCAGATTTAATCGCCGGATTATGAAATCGTTCTACGATTTATGAAAGCGCTAGATTTCACAGAGAAGCTACGTAAACAGCTGTGTAGTAAATGCTGCTCCATTTGAAAGCACGTGAGAACCACATTTAATGTTTTTACTCCAAATACACTTCATAACGTCAGTTGAGTGTTTGAAGTAAATCCTTCTGTAAGATGATGTGGCTTCTTGCACCGAATAAGGCACACAACATTTCATAGCCTTTATCACTGCTTAGAATACTGTCAATTAGCATTGCATTATTAAAATTTTTATTATAATATTAAAGTACATAAGATTAACTCGGATAAACCATATATTGTCGTAGTCGTGTTTTAGTCACGTTGAATGAAAGCAGTAAAATCTTCTGTTTATTCAGGATTTCCTGGATTTCTTCTGCGGGGTGTATTTGGAGTTTCAGCGCGAGAGTGCCCTCTGGCCTTCGGATGGAGATTTACTACTGATCACAGAACCCTGCTTCACTGAAAGATATGCATGACAATCGCAGCTTCTGCCTAATCGCGATTTATCACCTTTGTGATTTAATTTCTATTAATCGTGCAGCCCTATTTCAAATAATCTCCGATGTATTAAGGTACGAAGAACGGGCCCCAGAACTATGACTTCTGAATTTAGCAGGTTACAACTATATTATGGATAAAACAGCCATGGGTCAATGCAGCCTTTGATCAACCGACGTTAGGTGTAGTAATTGGTAAGGAGCAGAACAGAAGGCAGTGTCGGTCACCTGCAGGTGCATATCAAAAGCCAGTTATGCTTGGTTATGTAGCGGTGTAACATTACGTAACAAGTCTTTAGCAATGTGCAATTACAAAAAGCTTTAGGGATGGTTGGTCACTGGTGCATTGAATTTAATAAGTGAGTATTAACAATGTTAAACTCTTTATTTATTTTTCTTTTCCAGACTACTTTACTTGCAAGGTTCTCCATTTTTGCTGCACTGCTTGTTTCAATCTGACAGGGCTTGTGGAAAACCGTTTTAAAGACCCCCCTTTTTTTTTTTTTTCTCCGTGTGGTTGTGATTGTTAAACTCCACCTGCTCTCTCGCTCTCGTATATATATATATATATATATTATAAATTTAAATTTAAGCCCATGCCTTATGCTTTTTAAAAAAATTATAATAAATTCTGTTGCCTTTTGTAGTCTGTCCATTTGTTAGGGTTGCATTTGTTTTAGTACTTTTTGCAGGTAAAGTTAATTTTGCTTTAATTACTTTAATGCAGAAACTTTCTGTGACCTACTTGTTGTTTTTGTTCCCTTACAGTATTAAAACTAATCCAGAAGTGTCAGCCTGTCGTGTGAAGCTCTGCTTGTGTTTGTGAACAAACCTCTGTGAAGACCTAAGGGTCTACCAGCAAATATTCTTGGAACAAGGGTGCAGAAAAGGCACAATATTGCAGTTCCTTGACTACACTAATATTAATGCTTTTCTAGGCACATTGCTGTTTGCCTGCATGTTCAGCAGGAATAATCCAGGGGACAGTCATATAGATCTTGTAGCCCCACCTTCCAATTCACAGATGTCTGGCAATTCCAGAGTCCTAATGCTGGATTTATTCCAGATGTTGCACATCCTGGGTTTGACTGACCAGGACTTGACAAGAGGACACAAACGGCAGGTTTCATTAATTTCTCCAGTAATCACCAAAATCTATTGTGTATATGCAACAATCTTTTGATTTTCATGTAGTTAACATCAACCTGAAAATATCAACTTTACCTCACCTAGGAGCCAAAGTAAATGTTAAGTTGGATGTGCTGTTGTCCTGTTCTTTGATTTACACATCCTTCCCCACCCGACTGTCCTTATCACAGACAACTTCAGCACTCATCTAGGTAAGTCTCAATCCTAATGAGTTCTTCTCACCTCATTTGATCTCTGGGAATGTGGAGAGCTTTCTTCAGGAAATTGTCAACTGCTTGAATGTCCGCTTTGTTTTGTCTAAATTTGTGCATATTGTTTTATATTCTCGGTTGAGCCATGTTCCCCACCAGCCTCTGATTAACCAATATTGTGTATTTGGTGAGGAGCAGAACCAAAAAACTAAGCAGCTGCTTGGGGCCCCTGTGGCCACCAGGGGGCCCCCAAGAGCACATTTCTTTAAATTATGTATTGTTAATGGACATGGTTGATGGTAATTATGCAAAAACGCAATATTAAATCAAAGGGAAATATTTTACTAACGGGCTGCAGCTGGATGCAAGCACAGTCAGACTGATTATGGAAGAGGCAGCAGCATTGCAGCAAAACCGTCAAAGGACCACCTGGTTCAGGGAATAAAAAGAGGAAGAGAAAACGGCAAGATAAAGGTATGTTAAGGAGTGAATAACCAGCGCTTTTCCACCCTCAATACCACGACTAAGGTGAGACTCTTGAGCAAGGCACCGAACCCCCAACTGCTCTTCGGGCGCAGCAGCAATATGGCTGGCTATTGCTCTGGGTGTGTTTTCATGGTGTGTGTGTGCACTTGGATGGGTTAAACGCAGAGCACAAATTCGGAGTATGGGTCACCATACTTGGCCACACTTCACTTCTATTCCGATATCATAGTACCTCACTTAGCTATAGATTAAGATTTTGTGTACAGATGGCTTGCTGTGTTTGTTACAATAACATTCTGTTCCATTAACTATATTCTTATGAACATCCCCTAGGAGCTTTGTTGAAATATTTTGGAGGTGGGGCACAACCAATGCCGCCAGCCCCAAATGCTAGTGCTACAGCTGATGATACAGCAGGTGAGTTTTCAACAATCAATATAGTTATATGGGTAACCATGCCTTTCGTGAGGTGTTTTATTTTTTATTTTTATTATTTTTTTTATGTAACCGTTGCATTACCTTCTAATATGACATAACATTGCTAACTTTTATAATGGTTTAATTATTTTAATCTTTCGTTAGGTCTATCCTCTGCAGGTAAGGAGCACTTACCAGCACCTGCATCCACTGATCCTGCTGTTCCTTCCATGTCTGTTTCAACCTCAACAGATGTGGCAGGTAATTTAATAGCACAGCAACCATTGTATTTGTTATTTATATAGAATATCATGCTATTTAATATTTCTAATTGTTAATGTAATTTCCTTTTTTATAGGTCATTCTATTTGTGGTCATTGGTGTCAATGTCACATGTACTCCCTTAGCAACTTTTAGCCTACACTATGGATCAACAGCTCCTCCAGTTGACCAGCTGAGTGGTCATCTATCCTGTCCGACTCATAAAGGACTGATCTGGTAAGCAGAGGGCCACTTCCTATAAAGGAAAACTTCACATTCCCTAAAAAAAAAAACCTGATGGCCGAAGCTTCCACTAATTCAATCACTGCAAGTCTTACTGGTATTGAGTAATAGAACTTTGAACACACTGAAAAAGGAAAAGTTTTTTTCAGCCTTTTTAATTTTTATTTTTTTTAAATAACTGTAGGGGCAGTCATGGCCTAATGGTTAGAGAGTCGGACTTGTAACCCGAAGTGTGTATATATAATAGTATATGTAAGTATATCCAAATATATGTGATGTTTAGGATTGTGTGTGGTTTGTGTTTGTTTGTTTTTTTTGAGTTGTCACAGTTAACCCTCAAAAAGGTACCTCATCCAGCTAAAGCTCTTGAATGGTTTTGGTTTACAGTTTGAGTGATATAAGAAGTTTTTATTTTTCTGTTTTTAAGTGTTTATTTGTTTTATTTTAGAATGTCTATTTCTTTCATTTGACTGGCAATTTGAGCTATTTTTGGCTTTCTCAAATTGAGTCTGTTCAGACTTTACTCTTGTGTTTTTTATATATATATATATATATAATTTTTTTTTTAATGCATCCGCTTGACTGTCCCTTTGTGGCCAATTTGAGACCGCAGAATCATATGCTTTGTCCATGATTCAGTATTTTTAAAAACTACTTGTTTCCAAATGTTATAGACATTTACCTTAAGTTGTAAGAAGTGTCCAGTTTCAAACTGAATTTATATCTTTTATTACAAATGGGTAATTTGCGATGTACGAACGTGAAAGTCAAGTGCAATCTCAACTCTTGTTGAACAAACTCCGTTTGTTCCGCTTATGCGTCATGTAATATTTCATAATCCTTTTAAATCCTTTTCGGTAAAGAAAATGCAGCATCAAACCTGGCAATCAGATTTGCACTTCATGCAGTTCCAATGTGAAGTTTTTTTTCTTGACTAAAGTCTAGTGGTTGTCTACAATCTCTTTGCCATTTCCAAGGATTTGACCCGTAAAACCAAAAACTTGCTGTGTAACTGTTTAGGTTTCATTTGTCAGGTTACAACAGAAATCAAACTTTAACTATTTACACTTTTCCAAGCTTCAAATTAAATTGTTTTATTTGTTTTATTGTCCTGCTAGTTTCAAACGTTTTAACATTTTATGGAGACTCCACATTTCTGTTGTGCTTGTGTTTTTGTTTGAAGCCTTTTCTCTTGTAGTCTTGCATTTGTGCAAGTCAAATTTTTTCGTAGAGTTTTCAACGGTACATCAGCTTTGTCCATAAGCCATTTGTATTTATACTGCTTTGTTTGGTATTTGTGCCCCATCGGCCTAAGCCCTTGTTTTTATACGGTTTTCCCTGTATTTTGCCTGCCACTTTAGTGACTTTTGACCTTTTGCATTTACATGTTTTTTTGCCTCTTTCTGTTCATGCCTTTTTATGCACCTTTGTACCCTTTACATATTCAATTTGTCTGTCATTAGGGTTATTCCCTTTTGCTTTGTGGGGGGAGGTGTGCGTGCTTTTATAAGTCCGGCTATAATGCTTTAAAGTTGCTTTGAAGAGATGCTTTGTGTACATGAAGTATATTTGACTATTTATGCCACTTTTGTTCCTTGTGCTCTTATGCTTTCATTTCAAGAACCTGATCTTTTAAGGTCTTAAACTATACTTTGAATACTGAAGCATTTGCTTTGGTAATGGGACTAGGAGAATTAGGATTGTATTTCGTTGCATTTTATATTGTAATTTCTTTATCTTTTGCTTTAAAATTTGATTTTGAACTTTGTCCTTGGTCAGTGACTTGTGCCCTTACAGCATTAACATTTATTCAGAAGCCTCAGCCTGTTAAGATCTAACTTGAAGATTTGAATCTACCAGTACAAATCTATCAACTGAGGCTGTATATAAGATCATTATATACTGTCTGCTCGGTTCTCTAACTTTCTTGTGGATCTCTCACCAGAAACTGAGAAGTGTTGGATAACCGGTTTCTTTCTCTAATAGTTGGATACGTATTCTGTGCAAAATGCTTTAGAATTCCATGTAGTTAGCAACCTTAACTTGACATTTGCTATGTGTGCCATTTCAGTTGTGCAGCTTCGAGTTGGGTGTTTTCCTTCTGCTCTGTTCTCTGATGGCAACTCATTTGTCTGACAACTTCAGCACTCACCTAGATAAGTGTCTTCTCCTGATTGCCAAGCTTTAAAGCCTTATTTACGGTTTGACCATTTGCAAGTGTGGAGTGCTTTCACAGTAAACCAACTGTCCAAAGTCTTTCCAAGATGGTGCCAGTTTGCCGTTTGTTGTATCTGTTCATCTGTCATCTGTGCGGTTTGTATTGTGCATGATGTCACACTGGTATAATGCAGTCTCGGTGCTGACCTACAATCACCAGGCTTTTGCTCAAATTATATGGGAGTTTAGGGTAGATTTTGTCCTGTTCTCGTTCTCAATTCTCGTTTAACCAACCCGTGGTGGAGTGTGCTCTGCAGCTACCTTGCTGCATTCCTTCCCTAAGGAGGTGCCGCAGGAAGTGAGGTAGTGGTGGTGTCCTGCTGAGAATTGGACGGGCAATTGCTTTTTCCATACAATCTTCGAGTTTCCCTTCGAAATATAAATTGATTGATTACTTGTTACTTTTGTCTCTAGACCCTTGTGTGTCTGTGCTCTTATGTTTTTGTGCAGTTGTGCTGTCTTTATGCTGCTTGTGTCTGGTTTTGGGTTTTTAATACCTGTTTGTATTCATGTGTTTTTTATATACCGTGTTAGGTATATAGATCTCTCGCTCTCGCTCTCTCTCGCTCTCTCAGCACCACCACCTCCTCATCAGCACTCACTATAAAGACACACACAAACTGCACTCCTTTGTCTGTTCTCATCGTTCCTACACTAACAGAGACTTTACCTGCTACTCATCTGTATACTCCCCTACCCTCCAGGATCTTGTCTTCAGTCATCTGCTACCTGCTCTCTGTGTGTTCGTTCCTGCATCTGCAAGATAGACATTCAGTTACTATTCAGCTGCGTCATAGCAAGCTCCATTGAGCTGCCATACCTAATGTTGCAGGGGTGTGGACTCGAGTCACATGACTCGAGACTTGACTCTGACTCGAGTCCCAAATTTGATGACTTGCGACTCGACTCGACATAATTAAAGAAGACTTGAGATTCGACTTAGACTTTGACAGCAATGACTCGAGACTTGACTTGGACTTGAGCCCTGTGACTCGGAAAGACTTTATGATCAGATCAGAGTCGTTATTACTCTAGACGCGTCCCTGCAGCGTGCTTGCGTTTGACTGGCAAAAAGCCAGAGACTGCGTTCAGGGAGCGGTGGATATACAGTATATGCTAGTATAAATTAATGGAGTAATAGCATAACTTATGACAAAAGAACCGAGATAAGAAAAAAAAAAGACACGATTCGTATATAGCTATCTCCGCTTGTGAAAAGGGCTGCCCTGCCCGTTTGATCGCCGCCCAGCAGACACACGGAGCAGGCATGAGAAACGAGAGGCGCGGCCGCGATCACTTCACTGGTGCTCGCCTCATCATCACCGTGACCGCTGCTGTTAAATATTCCTCACT